GGGCATGTGTTATGTATGTCATCAGATAGGCTGCCACGGCAACCGAATTTTGCCGAGGTAAGGAGTGGGTGGAATAAAGCCAAGCTAAGACTTGGTATGAGGGTATGAAGACGCTAACCAGGAGTCTTGGTCACATAGGTCCCGTAAGGCTCCCTGGCTGGGGGACCTCGGGACGGTTGTAACCGATGGTTAGAGACACTGAGTGATATGGTTGGGTGTCATATACAGTGGCGTTCTTGCACCTTCTCAATTTCTTTGCTTTATTAGTCCACCGAACTTTTAAATTTTCTCTTCGATCCTACTTTCAAACCTCCTGTTTTCCTTCTATTGTTCACTGAAATGGGCAGCCAAATGACAGCAACCAAAGCATCGCACGGAAATTCATGCTTAATGGTTATTTAAAGTAAACTGAACTGAACCCGTTCTTCTAACAGTTGTACAAGGAATGGTCGTATCTGGTGATTTTCTACTGTTTCACCCTTGATCTAAGTATAGTGGGCTAAGAATTTCTCATGCGTTAAATTTCCAGTTTTGAACTTTGTGATCTTCGGTTTTCAGCTGAGGCAAGAATAACAATGTGACTAGGGACTGGATAGACGGTTAAGAAACTTCCCATAGGAAGAGTGTTGTGAGATACTGCTCACTCGGGAGTAGTAGGGAAAATAGTTGGTGATCACGTTCGACAATCAAAAAATTAAGAAGACCACCGAGGGCAAATTGCTGCATCTCAAAGTATAACTATCGACTGCTACATTCATTACTGGTTGTGTGGCCAGGAACTCCGATGGTATGAGATTTTCGTGTTTTGTATCCCAAATTGGTGATGTCCCATTTGAACTCCTCAATAAACCACTACCCTCGACCGAGCACCACCTTGTGGAATTAAAGCAGACAATATATGCCGCGAAATTCAAATTACTGACCTACATTTCGGAGCTCAACAGCATTCTTTAAAGATTGTTGAGTGGTTTTCAGCTTATTTCGGTGAGTGACTAAACGGATTATAAGTTCACTAAAGAGTTGTGAGACGCAAGAAGTTGGTTTACTTTCCTCAGTTACCAACGTGGAATAATGCTTACGAACCACCTGATAGCAAGTCAACAAAATGACCTAACTCAAACTTTAAGAGTCTCAGCAGACAAGCACGACCTGAAAATGCTAGCCGTTAAGATCGCAACACAGACAGCTGCAGTGCAAAAACAACTAACCCATAACAGCTTGACTGGTCACAATGGAATCCTTTCTGATTCCTACAGATAGGAGCATTCATTGACACAATCGGGGATCGAACCCAGGACCTAACAGGCAGGAAGCAAGCACACTACCCACTCAACTACAAGGTGGATTATTGACCTGGCCCAGGGTTCGATCCCAGTTGGGTTGATGGATACGCACTGTTGATGAGACCCAATCAAGTCGAAACAGTAGTCCAGTGCTCCGTAGCTTTTCAGTTCACATTTCATTTGCTCTTTACACGACAAAATTCACCATATGATCAAACCAAATCCTCCATCACTGTCATGTAAGATATTGATATGCCTGTCTCCACTGCAGTGTTTGTCCTATTCTGTAAACCAATCACCAAGTTTTACGCCAGCGATCGAATAAAGTGAACGTAATCCATGTATCTCTTTTCTTTGTCATGAATTAAGAGAATCTGAGTGTTACCGACTCATCATCATAAAGGTAGACAGACACTTGCATATCTAAACAGGGAGCAACATTTTTCCCCCAGTCTTATCGTTTTCCACACAGTTTCCCTTCATTGTATGAAAGATGACACGAAAATCCATTACGCTGGATGCATCGCTATTGAAACTTACGGTGACACCCCAAAATTTTGCGCCTCAACACAATTGGCTCTATACAACTTCAACAGTGCCGAATGGATGCGATTATTTCGAATGGATTGCAAAGGCAGTGAGTACCCATTAGGTAGTGGGATTCCATGAACCCACAAGAAAACAGCAGATGATAAGCAGCTCTTTCTCCTGATATTGTGACAAGCTGCACCCGTATTAGGCGAATTTCGACAGACTAATCAAATATGGGACCGTGAATTTGGGACTATGTAGTGCAGCTAGCATGAGGTAAATACCAAATGGAATCCATTTGTGTTTTTGTGCAGCTACGTAAACAACACATAATTACCACCATGAACAGCAACATTAGAACAGATGAATTGAATTCAAAAACAAATCGGAATGGGATCTTTGGTGACTGAGTAAGATTTGTGATTTCATCAGCATTTTCAATCTGCCCGCTTTCTCTCCCATCCACCGAACCGACTAATCAACCGCAGATTGGCGTCAACAAAACAAACTGATAGCGACAGCCATAACGGGGGGGTATACCAATGGCAATGGCAATCGATTCTTGGTGTTGGCACTGTGCGAATGTTTCGGTTCCGACGTTTTTTTCTTATATGACCTTTCCTGTAAATCCTTTTGTTAATTCTTACCGTTCAAACGAGAACATTTTAAATAAAGCCCTTGGACCAGGTTGGACTGTTGTGTGCCAGCTTAACAGAGCAATAGGGTAGTCATTACACAACCGAGCAAAAGAGAAGATATGTGATTTGTGAATTGTACGTGTTAACGATTGCGCCAAAAAGCTGTGTTTTTATAGCACTCGCTCTCTTTCTCCGCCAGATCGTTGATGTTTGCTTAGGTGAAGAGAGGAATACAGGTGATGGCGGAGAGAGAGAAATTGTGCGAAGTAGTATTCTAAGTACCACTGGGCTTTTCCACAAGAATGTGCTTTTATCTCTTGCAAAGGCCAATGCAACATGTGGAGTAACAGGATGATCACAAGACCCCTATTTAGTGGCGGACCAGATTTGCATGTGTCGGCATGCATTCTATGACCGGTAGCATACGCTTTCATTGTTCGACGACTTCAGGCTCATTACCGCCCGGGAAGACGGTTAAAATGGTTCGATTCGAAAAAAAACTACGAACATTTGCACAAAAGAACTCAAAACGACAAGCTGTGGCCGATAACACTAGCAGTGCGTGAAAATAGAAAGGGATAATAAAGGACTCTTAACGGGAGACCCATCGAAACCAAAGCTCACAAATACTTCCGGGATAGACATTATATAGGCACTGTACTATAATATTTAATACATGTTTCAGTCTAGACTGTGCCAAAAATTAGCAGTACAATACTCGTTATAACAAATGAGAAGAATAATGATTTCCTGGTGGGCGGAAGACCGGCATATAGCCCGGCATATAGTCCAAGAACCGTCATTGGCTTCAATTTGATCCCAAATCACGGAGAGAGAAAAACGATTCATAAAGTGACTCCGTGTGTTGCATTACTACAGCCTTTCTAGAACGATAGCACTAAGAGAATAACAGAAAATTTCAAATGGGAATTTCCTCTTTTTAACTGTTCGGTATTTCTACTGTGCACGGTATTCAACTACATTACCTGGTGTCTGCTGTTGTGCATCCAGAGAATTCGAGACTTCAAACTTGAGATACCTGGCTGATATGGTTCGGGTGTTTTTTCTCGTAATACTAAGGTCTTTACCAAATTTTACAATAGCAAGAGTATAACAGCTCACATTTAAGCAACATTGATATCGTCAACATTCGACAACAAAGCAGAATGGACAGATCTGAATAGATGGAAGTTAGGCTAACGCATTGCAAGATAAAGTGTAAAAATCGGTGGAAACAGATTAAAGAATATCGCTGTCCGTCAGAGTTAAAAGTGCGACACTCATGGACAGTGCATACACAAACCGATGCCAAATTTTTATCTATTGGGAGAAGATGAAAAGAATGTGAATCAGTCATTTACGTGTCATTTGGAGATCGGATAAGTATCATAGCAGTGCGTGGTTTTCGAGGTGAAGCAAAAGTGACCAGTACTGTAGTCCAAACTCACTTGATGCAAAAACTCCGACTCAAGAATCGCTTCAGCTTGCCATGAGTAGGGCACTTTGCTATCTATTTCACTCACCAACCCCGATCTGGAGGGCGAATGATCCGAGTGGTCTGTACTGGACGAATTGTTCATCTCCAATTTGATGCGATCTGCACACAGAGCTGAGTCGGACGACGGTGGAGCGATCTGACGAAACCAGACGTGACAATCCTTGCCCAAATTTTTTCCTAGAATGAACAACTCTTGACCACCGGTGACTGGAGCCTGCGTGAGTGACATTCGACAGATTTCCGGATCGCCAACCAGTTGAGCTGCAATCAGAATGCACGAAAACGCATTGAATGGTTATCCGCATTGACACAGGTAAAACGCTGATCATGCACTCATGAATTATAAATTCGTGTTGTATCGTGAAGCAAAACGGTGCAAAAGAAACTTTGGTGTTCAATGTTACGCATCTATCTGTTGTCCCTAGCTCTGGACACAGTGAGGATTCCAAAGTTACGACAATGTCTACCGATTAGGCGAAGACGAGATAAGACGAGCGGCAAAGAGCTATAAAGCCAAAAGAGATGAAACACTCGAGACGAAACAAATAATAACGAATCGAGAGCACTACTGTTATTCATGTTCGATATTGGTAATTTTGAACTGAGTGAAAACATTGTTTTTATATATTCTCCGTTCCAGTTAATTATTGCATGGTGTCCCTCCACCAGACCCGTTTCCTTTTACCAACTGATTTGATTTACTGTAAGCTACTCATCAGCCGCCGGTGTTTTCTTCAATAAGTACGATCATTTTAGTTACAAAACGAAATATGCAATAAATGATTGTCCCTAAATGCTCCAAGCCCAGCAACTCTTTACAAGCCTTCTAAACACAGGGCTTAACATGTTATGCGTTTAATCGGAAGAACGTCTGATTATGGTCGGGAGGGTGGGTGGCTATTTCAGGCTACTTTAGACTCCCCACCAACTCTTCCCAAAAACCTATGTCCAGCCTTGATCGGGGAGGTCCTATGCACAAAGTTCTGTTGGGGGGGGGTGTTTTTGCTGCTGCAAGATTATTTTATACCGTTATATTTCACACGGGTCTGAACCCAAACTGTGCCAAACAAATCCCGTTACACTCGGAGGAGTTTATATGATGAATTCGGCGTGTAAATGAGGCGTAAGCTGAAAAACTTGGAAGCACTAGACAGCTATCTAGAGGAGCTTCGATGAATAGGAACATTTCATGAAGTCCGAAGGAAGAGCTATCAGCCACCCAAGGCTATACTGAGGCTTTCCGAAGTACTGCAGATCAGACTACTGTGCCGAATGCTTGGGATTGGCCCCCTTTAATCGACCTTCGACTCTTGCTCAGGCAACAGAGTAGTACAACTAGCAACAATACTGAAATAATAAACAGTTAGAAATGGATGAAACTCAATAAATGAACTTCAACTACTTCTCCAATTCCAACGAAAATGACCATGTCACAATGAAGTACCGCAAAGCATTTTCTTGGTTAAACAGTTACGCGTGGAAGGGTGCAGCATTAACTGAATTAGTTCAGAGTGATAACTTTGAGTCCATTTTGAGATAATCAAATCATGGAATATTCGAGTGGTGTACACTACTCGGAAATAAGACTTTATTAGACCTAAAGCGATCTTCACAAAACTTCGTTCGTAGTAGGATAGTACACTGCATGGCAGCTATATCATGCACTTGTGCAAGCAGCCTGCAAACTACCAATAGGACACTAGTTGATTGGTGTACTGAACTACCACTACCGACCTATCCACCTAGTCAGGAACACAGGATTGAGAGTTTTTTGATTTATTGACATATACCCCCATGAATCCCCATGAATTTCGACATGATGTCCATGATCACCATCATCGTCAGCTTTCCACCAATTGTGAAAGTAGTAAATCTTTGCATCTGAGCAGTTAACGATTCCAGTCAAAACCAGCAACTATAATAGGAAAGCACAGCTACGGATAGGAGGAAGAGAATGAAATCCCAGGCAGTTGTGTCATACCGGCTGACAGAAGAGCATATCGGTATAAACACTGCAGGAAATAACTAGGTCACATTAGCATACCAGGAAACTGCGCGCATTTGTTTGTGTCTTTGTGTCTGGGACAATCGGCTCTGGCCACATCGATCATTGGACACAAGTTTAGACGTAAACCAACCGAGAGAAAAACATGAATATCAATCATTTTTATCCATTTCAAATTAGTAAAGCGTTCAGGGACGACTTTTCCGTCGGAAGACGGTGATGAGAAGGAGAAAGGATTTCATAACCCTAGCCCGTACTAAATATAGTAATCCGAATGTCAGCAGAGGCGTGTCAAAATCAAGTAACAATTAAACCTGATGTTGGATCAGCGTTTTCCGCCCCTCTAGTTGCAGTTCTCGAAGTTTGCAAGCTGGAAATGCCAGAAAAAACGGATTTTTTTAAAGAAAAACCCAATATCACGAGATCCATATGAGACGAACTCGGTGACCATTACTGTCAACGATGCTCTAAGAGATGTTGCATATTACATAAAGAAACAAATCATACAGGTTATATTCGTTCTATGATCCAAGACGCCTTTCAAATGACTGTTTCTAAGGTATTTACAGAGTGCAATGAACCAGACTGTTCAGATCGTCATTTCACATCACGCCATTTGCTTAATCAATACTGTAGGTCATCCAGTCTGCTTTTAAACAATGACACTCCTCGGATGCTAAGCATCTCTTTCACGCCTGCATCGTCCTACATGACCTGGATCTTTGACCAACACAAAACATGTAAATCATCATGAATCATGCTGTTTCGCTCGCCTGACGACGACCCATTTAATTATCAACCCGCTATGTTTGCTGTTTCATCTCAACCCCATGATCCATGAAGATGAATCCGGTCTCTGCAACAACCTTCACCGACGAGTTTCTTTAATTTTTGATTATTGTCAAACGGCGCTGGAAAAAACACGTATCGCATTCTTTTCGGCAACTTATTCGTCAACGTTTCTGTCAAAGACCGCAAAAAGGTTTGGTAGCTCTATTGTTTACAAGGTGTGTGGATCAACAGCAGTCAACACTGAAAAATGCTTAGAAATCCTGTACAGCTTATCTAATCCTTATCAGGGATCATCAGCAATACACGCCCACCGAATTCATTGAGGTTTGAATCAGGACACGAAGGACTGTTAATCCATGAAAGGCAAACAGGCTGATTCTGGGCAGACTGATACATGTCAACACTGCCCGATGAAGCGCACAGTGGTTAAAAGCATCGGATCTTACCGCGCAATGATCGATTTCACAAGACATGACTACTAAATGCAGAACTGTATCGAATGAACATTACTCGGTTTCTGCATAGTACTGTACGTTGCGCTCGTGGCCTTGAAATCGGAATATCCCACAGCTGATGTACGGCGACCACTTCCTCTACGGTGTTTCGGAATAAACCGGTTCTATGTAATCCAGATAAATCACGTCAGCGACGACTGATCAGTCGCTAAAACCACGGATCAGATCACCCTTAAATTGAAAGCTAGGTTGGTAGGTGAGTACTCCTCTCTCTCTGTGCTCGCAAATAAACATAGCATGAGAGAAATTCAATGAGAATATTGTCGAGCGATAAGGAGCCAGTCGTTGGAGTAATGTAGATCGAATCCGCTTTCAATTTCTGCTATGCAAAGCAGGACAGATAGGTTTTTACTGATTTGATTTATTTGTGATTAAACACACTAGATGCATTAGGTTTTTGAGATTTCTAATCGAAAATAGTTGAAAGTCGCTGGGTGCACCATGTGGGGTTTAAAAAGGGTATTTTACATTGCTTATACAATTTGAATATTAATACCTTTCAAAAATACAGATTTTTGAATGCATTCTGTATTCGACATCAAATATCACTGAAACTAAGGCGTCCTATTATATCACTCAGCAATCAATCACAATAGTATGTCTTCCTCAATCCCTCGTCATACGCGTCCCCCAGGGACAATGAAGAATTCATCATTCGATAAAGGATTCACTATGTGGATACACCCATAAATGCAGATGCTATGCCAATCAATAAATGACTCCATTTGCTCCAATGGAGCCCTAAATAGCGCATATTTGGAATGCATTTCAATAATTTAAACAATAGGTTCAGTGATGAAACAAGAAAATGCATCTTGTGCACAGTGAAAGCGCTTGAGATTGTAACTTTCACTACCGCGTGAGCCACTACTACCATTGAAAACGCTACGTGGAGCGATATATCCTGTATACAAAAGTGATTCGCATTCATCTCCAGCCTCAAAATCTAATTTAAACAACTTGAGCCGCATTGAACAAATGCAGTCGACTATCCAGGATGTCACTTAAACCGAATGGTTGGTAGTATGCGCATGGAACTGTGGTGACTTCATGGCACAGTTCATGTGGCCCATCCAAACGGGTTGTCCAGTAAATCGGTCGCAGACAAGTACGGCCATTAGATTTAGGATCAATCGTGTGATCAATCCATGCAGTTTGTCTACTGTGTCGATTGATCAGCATCGTTTCGACAGGAGGCCTCGTCGTACGCCTCAAGAAGAAAGACTGGTAAAGTTACGCCAAACGACTTTATAGTTATTTGACTGTATTGTGCTTCCAGCGATTTTCTGCCCAGTGCTCTGTAAGGAACGAATTGGGCGACTGATATGCACTAGACCTTACGTCATTCTTAATAGCATACGATTGGGAAAAGAGAATAAATGAACCGCGGAAACAAAAAGTTATCAAGTTTTACGAATGATGTATTCATAGTTTACAACATTACAGTAAATATTTCGGCATTTTGCAGAAGAAGGAATGTTTGTTTCAAACAAAGTTTGAACTAAAACCAATCGGCTTCCTGAGATAAGATAACGTTCTTCCAAAATAGCCACTTCAGCTGCTTCATTGAATATGGTTACCGAGATGAACGGTATGCTCCAAATGCCTTCAAAAAAGCTCTAGTGGATTGATATCTGGTAAGCCATTCATGAGCACCCTTTTAGTCGATCCAATTTCCAGGGAATAGCTTTTCTAGACCTCTTGACGCTATTCGTGCGTGATGTGACAGAAACCAGATACTTTTCACGTACTGAAAAGGAGTCCGGTAGCGCCCTTTGTGTCTAGTAGCAATTGTTTGCAAGATTGCCTGTAAAACGCGATATATTCTCTACCTGCAACAGGATGTTGAAAAGAAACGGTCCAACTATTCGTAACACCAGTATTCCAATCCATATCACAGCTTTTGGTAATGTCTTC